AGGGGAGGGGAGGGGCAGGGAGAAGGACTAAGAGGCTAAGGAAGAGGGGGAGCTGGTGCTATGATCGACTCCAAGCCAGTGAGAGGGATTTGGGGGCAGGAGGAGGATGCTGGCCCCAGAGTCCTGGGAGGCCGGACCAGGAGAAGAGCCACCTCATGAAAGCAGGGTGGTTTTCACAGCCTCCAAGTTACTTGGGGCTGCCACACACCCCTGGCCCAGAGGAGCGGGCCAGTGCTGATGAAAACCCCTCCGTAGGCCTTTCAACCATCCGGGAACAGGTGGGTGGTTCATTCCTCTAACTTTTCCTCAGTCATCCCATGCCTCCTCCGTGCTATGTGCTGAGGAATAAGCCTGTTCAGGACAGACGTGGCCCTGCCTGCATGGAGCTCCCAGTATGGTGCGGTACCACACCTCACCCTCTGTTTCCACCTGAGCTCAGTCTGGGCTGAATGTGTGCTGAGGGGGCTGCGCTTACCAGACAGCCTCTGACGTGGACAACGCCTGCAGCCCTGAGCCCGACCAGCTGCCTGGCACCAGGGCATCAGGGATGGCGGAGCTGGGGACCACTCTCAGAGCTGGTCCCCAGTTGGCAGTGACATCTTTACACCTGACTCCAGGGCTGCTGGCTGAGGGTATCTTCTGCCAGAAGCCTGACAACTGTGAGAAGACCTACCCGGAAGGGAATGAGGATTAAGGTAGCAGTCCCTGGCAGCTTGGGGGGCTTCCTAGGGGAAGGCATGGCCAAGCCCACCCCAAAGGTTGCCACAGACCTTATCGCAAGGTCACATGGACCATCATGAAGTCACAGAAGGGCTAGCAAGGGGTTGGCCTCCTGGAGAGCCCCTCCCTGTCCCCAGGCTCAGGCTTGCTGCTGTAGGAATGTTCTAGCTGGCCAGGGCTGTCTGGCCTCCCACAGGTGTCTGGTAACCACCCCATGTACCCCTGTGAGTGCACAGCCAGAACTGGGATAGCCAGGGGACCAAACTCAGTTGGAAGGCACAGACCCTGGCATCTGCACAGGCTAATGAAAGAGGACACCACGCCATCCAGGAACGGCCTGGAAGCAGGTCAGGCCCCTCTAGCTTGTGTGCCAAACCCAGCACTTCAGCTTCTGGTGGACGGGACTCCTCTGCGTTTTCTACCTCCCAGGCAGTGCCTCCCCTGCCCAGCTCTCTTCCTCCTCCCCGCGGCCATGACCGTGGGCTTCTCCATGTTCAGTCCTGCCCACGCCTGCTATCCCACACATCCTGGCATGGGCACAGATGCCCCCTGAGCCGCTATAAGCACCCCAGCTGCCGGCCCTCACAGGTGGAAACACCTGGACAATCACAGGGCTGTGACGTGCCTGGCACGGAGGGGCCTGAGGGGTTTGCAACTGTACCATGGAGGGAGAACAAGTTCACCAAGGGAAACTCTGTGTCATCTGGGCCAGCCTCTGTGCAAAGCCAGTTAACAAATGGTACTGACTCCAAGTGTGTGGGGCAGCTGGCCTCCTCACCCGGGTCATTAAAAGGCCATCTGTGTCTGCATGGCTGAGGAGGCAGCAGGGGCTCTGCTCCTCCCAGGGTGTGTTGTGTGTTGTGTGTACGAGCATGAGTGTGTGTGTAAGCAAGCATTATATGTGTGAGCGTGGGTGCATGTTTATATGTGTGAGCGTATGTGCACACAGATGTATGTGCATGAGTGTGTATGTGAGTCTAAGTGTGTGCATGAGTTCGTACGTGAGCATGAGTGTGTGCATGTAAGCATGTGTGTGCACATGCATGCGTGTGCATGTGAGTGTAAGTATGTGTGTGCATGTGAGCGTCAGCCTTTACCATGCTAACATGAACAGGGTTCTCCAACAGGATGAAGGAACATACAGTGCTCTCTACTTAAAATCCACCTGGGTGGTTTTCCTAGAGAAACCATCTTGGTCCCACTTCCCCCAAGATGAGCCATGATCAGAATGACCCCTCCTCACCCCCGTGACTGCCGGCTCATTTAGCGCCTCAGACCCTGAGTCTTGGGCTGACCGTGAGCACTTCACAGCAGAAGACCCAGACTCCCAGGGGCAAAAGCCTGCGTGTGGACCCCTGAGTAAGTCCCGCCTCTTCTTGAGCCTCAGGACATTCATCTGTAAAAAGGGGCTGCTAAATGTCTGACCTGTCTGCCTCCTGAGCCTGTGTGAGAACAGAAACTTCTAAATAAAACCATAAACGAAATGCTAAAGTCTCGTGAAAGCTGTGGAGAGCTGTCTATAATACCAGATGCCATCACAATTTCCATGTGGGGTGGAGCTCCCCTTCTGATAGTGGCCACCTGGGACACACACACCTCGGTGCAGTCACCACAAGCTTCCAGGGACACTGGGCACAAAGCCACCTTGCTCATGGGATCAGGAAAGCCAGCAGTCCTCCCTCACTGAGATGCAAGACAGGTGCTGGGAAGAGATGGTCTGGGCCCACCTGGGAAAGACGCATTTTTATACTGTGCCAAAAACTTCAACGGATATCACATTTCTACAGAGATCCATAGTGATACTCATAGCATCCCCCAAATGAGGGGATCCCCCCCTGCCGTGTGGGGAGCCAAGGGCCTAGAGAAGGACGGCGCGCTGGTGTGAGCCCTGTGGGGGCCATAGGGGCCTGGCCTCTGCCCGCGAACTGCTTAGCCAGCGGGGCAGCCCAAACATGAGAGGCTTTCCTGGGAGACGGGACAAAGGGAACTCACCTCTCCCTCGAGCCCATGTGTAGATGCGGCCAGTTTCAGTGCTTCTGGGCTCTCGCTCTGCCGGCTCCACTGGCAAAGGCCGGAAGTGGGAGTCATCAGCCCGGCCGGAGGTCTTCAGGGGCAGGATGTACTTGGGGAGCCCTTTGTAAAACCAGGCCCCCGACCTCTTCCAGACCTGGGTGGGGGAGACAGTGCTTAGGGTATAGGGGGCCAAGTAGCCTCCCCAGGCTGGACCACCCATGAGGCCTAGCCTCCCTGGTGCTCCTTCCCTGTGATGGAGGATACAGAGTGCTAAGAGCAGGGCACAAGTGGGAATTCTGGCTCTTCTCTCGCCGGCTGATGGGCTCGGCGGTCACTTACCTCCTCAGGATGCGGGTCAGCTGGGAGCAAGGTTCCATGAACTCTCCACACCTACTTTATTTATTTCTTTATTTTCTTTATTTTTTTGAGTTGGGGGTCTTACTCTGTTACCCAGGCTGGAGTGCAGGGGCATGATCACGATGATCATGGCTCATGGCAGCCTCAAACTCCTGGGCTCAGACGATCCTTCCGCCTCAGCCTCCTGAGGAGCTGGGACTACAGGTGTGTGCTACCATGCCTGGCTAATTTTTGATTCGTGCAAAGACAAAGTTTTGCTATGTTGTCCAGGCAGGTCTCGAACTCTTGGGCTCAAACAATTCACCTGTCTCAGCCTCCCAAAGTGCTGGCATTACAGGTGTGAGTCACTGTGCCCAACCTACACCTATTTTAAAGATAGCCCCACCATCGCCAGGCACAGAGGCTCATGTCTATAATCTCAGCACTTTGGGAGGCCGAGATGTGAAGACTGCCTGAGCCCGCGGGTTCGAGACCCGCCTGGGCAACTTGGCGAGACCTCATCTCTACAATAAATCAAAAAATTAGCCGGGCGTGGTGGCACGTGCCTGTAGTTCCACCTACTTGGACGGCTGAGACGGAAGGATCGCCTGAACCCAGCAGGTGGAGGCTGTGGTGACCATGAGCGTGCCACTGCACTCCAGCCTGGGTGACAGAGTAAGACTACAACTAAAAAAAAAAAAAGACAGTTCTACCTTCCACCTTCTCTGGTTTCTCTCTGGCACAGTGGGGATCTCAGGGGGGTAGCACTTGCAAAGCCCTGGAACACAAGGGAAATGCCTATGGAACTGTCCACAGTGACTATCTCTACCCTCTACAACTCTCGAAATCTTAGAGATCACCTTGCCACACCCCTGCTCATCCCCAGTCCTTTTCAGTCCCTGCTAGAAACTTCCAGAGATGGGAAGCCCATGAGCCACAGGGCACTGCTAGGTTTCTGCTGGATCTGCCTGTGTGGGGCCGTTCCTCGCCGCCAGGTGACCCCACCCATACCTTCTCTCACTGGCCCGAGGCCTGCAGCCATGTGGGGCAGACTCCCTCAGCCATGAACACCCACAGGGATCTCATCCAGCACCCACCAGCCACTGAGCTCTCCTCAGTGCCACACCCAGATTCCCAGTTTCTCAAGGATGGCATCTCTGGTTCCTCAGGGTTTCTGAGCTCCCTCCCACCTAGCCAACCCTCTCACTCACGTCTGCCACTGTCCCTCAGGAGAGGGGCTGAGAAGTGGCCACAAACCTCCAGGCTGAACATGGCTGCCCTGCAGGGTACTGTCACTGGCCTCTCCTTTCCTGCCTCTGTTCAGACCTCCTTAGGTCCGAGGCCTCTGAGGAGCCCCTCTGGACCCCACCCAGCCCTCTAGCAATGCTCCAAGCCAGAGGGGTCAGACAATATCTGCTGGGTCCCAAGCAGGTACAAAACATCCTCTTATCACTCCCTGGGGGAGGCAGTGAGAGGGGTGACCCTAATGCCAGCCAGAGGGGCGTCCCAAAGGTTGGAGATGCCCACCCTGTCCCAAACAGGTCTCCCAGGACTGGAGATACCCCAAGTCTGGGGGACACAGCTCCTTGGGCTCTGAGGAGTCCCTCTGTTGCTCTGTCACCCCCAGCATGGTGACCCAGGCTCTTCCCTCCTGCTCTCCCCTGGAAGCAAGGCAGAATCAGCAGCAGCTTCCACACACTCGCTGTGTGGCTTTGCATGAGTTACTTTACCTCTCTGAGCCTGAGTTTCTTCACTAGTGAAGCATAACAGTGCTTGCTCCACAGGCTGAGAAAGCTGAAAAGTGCCCGGTACCCAGAAGATGCCACCTGCCTCCCTCCTGGCTGTCCCTTCCCCTCAAGGCTCCGGGGCAGAGCAACAGAGGCAGGAGGAAGGGCCGGGCTGGGCCACATCACAGCACTCGGAAGCTCTTCTCTGAGGGCTTCCCAGATGAGACAGCCTCTGCAGTAGGTACGGAAAGACTCAGAGAGAGGCACCGATGAGAATTCAGAGCAGCGGCCGAGATAAGGTCCCTGCATTTCAAATGCCTACTTCAGAAAACACCAAGTGTTCCGTAATCTCTTTCCCAGCGAAGGAAACGCATTCAGGGTGTTTAGCAGGAGGAGTGGGAGTGTGTGAAGGAACACTTTGCAAAAACCTCAGCCGACATCACACTTTTCAGAGCGGAACAGGCCAGGGTTCCCAGCACTTGTCCCGAGTTTGAATCCTGGGTCCGGCACCCAGCAGCTATGGGATTTGGACACATCAACCCCCCCCAGTCTCTTCACCAGTGGCCAAAACATAGAGCAGTGCTCATCTCACAGGGTGGACCCACAAATCAGCCTCTCCGCGGAGAAGTGCTCACAGCACCTCTGCTCCCTACCCCACCCAAACCTGACAAACATGAACAGCTTTAGAACGGGTGGACCAACCCCCTACTCAAAGAATCTAAAATCAGAAGACCAGAGTCAGCCTGATTCTAAGACTGTGTTCCTCAGCACCCCATTAATACTGTGAGATGTTAACAGGGGCCAGGCAAAAAAACATTTCCAAGTACACTTGGGAAGTACTAGGTTAAACTAAGCTCCGCTGCTGCAGGACTTCTCAGAGCCTTTACTATACTAAAGTGAACAGGGTTCTCCAATAGGGCAAAAGAAAATATAGGGCTCTCTACTTGAATGATTTTCCCAGAGGAACTCAACCCTAGTCATGGGTCACTTGTTGAGTGATGTACATCTATTTCTCCAAGTAGACAGTGGTCACCTCTTTATGCTCCAGAATGCCAGGCATGGGACTACCACGTCTACACCATGTCCCTGGCACGAATCCCTCATCGCTCCTTCCCAGCCTGTGTGGAAGGGCCTGCTTTTATGTGGTTCTTGACTAGCAGGGAGCCCGTCTGGTGGCGTGGATGCTTGTGAGGCCCCTTTTGGAAAGCCCTCTTGGATCTTCTCAGAGCCCTTTTACAACACATATTTCAACTGGTAATGCATATGTGTGTCTAAAATCCACGAAGTGGCTGGGTGTGGAGGCTCACACCTGTCATCCCAGCACTTTGGGAGGCTGAGGTGGAAGGATGGATTCCAGTAGTTTGAGACCAGCCTGGGCAACATAGTAAAACTCTGTCTCTACAAAAACAATTTTTAAAAACGAGCCCGACATGGTGGCGCCCACCTGTGGCCCCAGCTACATGGGAGGCTGAGGGAGAAGGATCGTCTGAGCCCAGGAGGTCAAGGCTTTGGTGAACTGTGATCATGCCACTGCCCTCCAGCCTGGGCAACAGAGCAAGACTCCAACTCAAAAATAATTAATTAATTAGAATCTACAAAGTACGAAAATGAAACATCCCCTCCCCCTCACAGAGGCGCCCTGTGGTAGCAGTTCTTTGGGGAAGCTTTGTTATTAACCTGACTTTCCAGGTGAGAAAACTGAGGTTTCAAGAAGTTCAGTAATTTGCCCAAAGCCAGCACACCATTCTACCCCACCCAAAGGCCCCCAGAGTATCAGCCCAATAGTCTACAGACACAAAGTAGATGCTCACTAAATTGCGGTTGAGTGGTGAGTGAGTCCTTAGCAGGTCAGACCTCATCATGGACTCATAGTGTCCCATGGGCTGGATGTCCAGTGGGGAGGGCAGTGCCAGGCAGGAAGAAGAAGCAAGCAGCAGCCGCCAAGGCCGCCCTGTCCCTGGAGAGCTGCCGGGAGGCCCATTGGAATAGGTGCCCCGTCCAAGAGGCCACTGCAAGGCCATCGGGGTCTTGGGTGCTGGCGGGGGCGCACCCAGCCTTGTAAGCTAAGCAAAGGCCTAGCGTTCCTCCGCACGCACCAGCTTTGCTTGTCCCCGTCCCCCCACCCAGCATGCCACTTCCCTGACCTCCCCACAAGGCTGGACTCGGGGAAACAAGCGGAGCCAGGCCTCGAGGGCCACCTATGAATAGTATGCATGCGTGGGCTTAGGACCCACACCACACTGCCTTCCTCACCCTCCCACAGCAACTCAGATAGCGTACGGAATTAGGACAGTAACAGAAAAACAAAATGAAACTCCAGGCCCCTCCTAACATGACTGCAGAGAGACAGCCCTGCTTAGCACGCCGGTATGAGTCTTATGTCCCTTCCTGGACATATGTGCAATTTTGTGTTTGTTCTTTTGAAAAATTGGATAATGTAAGTACAACCTGTTCTTCCCCATCCCCACCCAACTGGATCTCTATCAACGGGTCCTTGTTCACAAGTAATGGTCTCCATCATCATTTTCTGATGGCTCACAGTTTGCATTTATTAAACTTAATTAATCCAGCCCCCGCTGATGGGCATTTGAATTGTTTCCAATTTCTCACTCTCTCCAGCAGCACTGCAGCCACCGGCTTTCATGCATACCTCAGCAGACAGCTGTCAGTGATTGCCTTAGGAAATACAGGCTGAGGAGCCTTTCTCCACGATGTCTGGGACCAGAAGTGTTTCTGATTTGGGATTTTTTTTAGGATTCTGGAATATGTGCATTATACTTACCGGTTCAACATCCCAAATCTGAAAATTCCAAATCTGAAGCATTTCCATAAGCATTTCCTTTAAGTGTCATGTCAGCACTCAAAATGTTTCAGATTCTGGAACATTGTGGATGTTGGATTTTCAGATTTGGGATACGCACTCTGTACCCCATGGAGAGGAAAAGCACTGTGTATACATTTAGATGATGACATATGTGGTCAGACTACCCTGCAGGAGGAAAGGTCGGAGCCTCAGGGTGGCACATAAGTATGTTCAAGGTAGGGCCTGTGTCTTCTCCCTCGTAGGGTTCAAGGTCTAGTCTGTGGACCC